GTGTGTGGAGAGGGGCAGCTGCTGAGAGAAGCTGTGTGTGTGTGTGTGTGTGTGTGTGTGTGTGTGTGTGTGTGTGTGTGTGTGTGTATTATGTATGTATGTATGTATGTATGTATGTATGTATGTATATGTGCAGTGAGGCGTGCAAGTCGGCCATAACCAGACCGCAATTTTACGTGCTTACACCGCCATCTAGAGGCACATAGAGGGAGAACAACAATTGCCAAGACTGCAGTTTACCAAACTAATTTATGCTCCATCTCCCAAAAACTGTTTTTAATTCACATATGCATACTATTTTTAACCTTCCTGAGCTGTTTTGAAATATATACATGCTGCTCATATTTGATAATATTTTTGTAAATTTTGTTACACTGCAATGTTTATAAGAGTAAAATTTTAGTCCGCTAAAAATAAGTTAAACAAAAAACCATAGCTGAAAAAAGTGCGTGCATGTGTGTGTGTGTGTGTGTGTGTGTGTGTGTGCATGCGTGTGTGCGTGGGTGTGTGGGTGTGGGTGGGGGGGTGTGGGTTTGTGTGTGTGTGTGCATGCGTGTGTGTGTGTGTGGTGAGCATGCACATGCATGCATATACATTTGTGTTTGGGGGTTTCTTTGTATGTTTGTTTGGTTTTTATATGCAGGATTTTAGTTTTCTTCCCATTCCTTCCACATACTTCTGCTTGAGAACTGATGTCAAATATTCACTAAATTGTAATTAGGGGCTCTTACTAGTTGTAAGCATATATAATATTTTAAAGCTGTGTTGCATATCTTAAGGAGGCAGGTTTCTTCTTGCAGTGTGTGTAGCCTGAAAAGCAATGCAATGAAAGTAATTTAGGCAGTCAATCATATTTTATGACTCTTCTACTTCAAGATGGGTTAATTCTTTACCACAGAAAATACATGGGTAGTGTTGTAATTTAAAAGGTGGCTCCAGAGAGAAAGATGCCATGTGACAGGGTTCATGTGGAGGGGTTTTTTAATTAGAGGAAAGGGAATTGGGAAAGGAGGGAGAAGAGGGGGGAGACTGGCCTCTTCGGACAGGAGGAGCAGCAGAAGAGAAGAGAGAGGCAGAGAAATAGAAGGGGAGAGACAGGCAGAGAAGCAGAGAGAGAGAAAGAGAGAAAGATGGGATGTAGGCAGGGCCCTTTTAAAAGGGAACATAGTGATTATGCACAGGTGGTGCTCTTAGTGGCTGCAGCTGAGGGTGAATCCTGTCAGAACCCCAAGGACAGGTCAGTATACTGAATGTATGCCTGAATACTAACAGGTAGGATTGCAGAAAATAGAATCAAAACAAGAAGAAATAAATTCATTTGGGCTGACAATGTTTGCAAAGTATAAGTTGCCTTCACCAAACCTCATGTTAATAAAACATAAATAACTCTTCCTTAAACCCTTGTCACATAAAGCTCACTGGATACAGCTCTTCTCTCAGACTAACAATAGAGATTCATCTTTTAAAGACATCTTCAATAATACCACCATGTGATAATGTCCACCAACTGATAATGCATGGCATTATTATAGCTTTGTTATGCACTGAACTGTGGGCAGTTAGTTACTGCACTTACATTTCTGGCTGCCAGCTGTCCTTTTGTAGTGCATCAAGGTGCTTCATTCAGTTTTGCTCCTTAAAGTCAAATTTAGTCAACAACTGATGATCCCACTAAGACTAGCTGTTTGATGAAGATTTGCCTAAGTGCTTATAAGAACAGAGATCTGTTCAGAAAATGCCAGAAGGTGAATTGTACATAAGGAGCCATAATGACAGAGTTGTAGAGACTGATAATCACACCCTCTTTCTTTTCTCTGATTTTCTGGTGTCTGTCTGTTAGACTAAGAGAAATTATTTTCTGATTCACTTCCCAAGACAGATAGGGGCCCTTTTCTGTCATTGTTCATCGTAGTCAGCTTGTCAAATACACTCATTACATATGAAAGTGACCAGAAACTGCAGAAGCAAATATAAAGGACACATTGTCATAATGTCAAGTAGGGATGTGTTATAGTGTGACACTCGAGTTACTACAGTGAAGGGTAATTGAAAGAGAGAGGAGGCATCTTATCCTTAAATGTGATTTCAGTAAAGAAACTTTCCTCGCCATGGTCCTCCCTCTTAGGAGCAGAAAGCCAGTCACTAACTGGCTTTAAGCACTAACCACACAAGGTGATAAAGATGTCTAGCATCTGGGATAATGACAGCACTCAGCATCACCTGATTTAGATAAAATAAGTGCACAAACCTGTGGCTTTCTTTTGCAGTTAAAAAGAAAAAGGGAAACTCTGGACAGGCATCTGAAACCAGTGAGGGGTGGTTGGAGATGAAAAGTTGATGAAACGCTATAAACATTCTATGAGAAGAAACAACTTATCAATACACTCTATTCTCAAGGAACTATGATGTCCCATTTGGAAAGTGTTCAAATTATAAGCAATTTAGAAAAACATGGCAAGTGGTTAGTGCTGACATTGGGATCCAGAAAGATGAATTACATATTTGATCTCTATCCCATTGGCAAATCAGGTGCTGAAACCCTCAAATTTCCAGGGCATATCAAATATTAAGTGGTTTTACTGGTGTTTGCATTCTCCTTTATTCATTTGCACAAGTCCTGTGTAACCACAAATGTATTTTCTATGCTTTAGGGTGGAGTCTGTGGCTGTGAGAAGGGATACACAGAGATAATGAGATCAAGTGGTTTCCTTGATTACTGCATGAAGGTGCCTGGCTCAGAAGACAAAAAAGCTGATGTGAAAAACCTTCCTGGGAAAAACAGACCTGTGAATTCCAAAATACATGACATTTTTAAAGGGTGGTCTCTTCAACCTCTTGACCCAGGTGTGTTTCCTATTCAAATAAGGGATGCACATTTTTTTTTCAGTGAGCTCATACTGTGACCATCTCTTCCTGTGGAAAGAATGGAGGAAAGGAGGGAAGAGAGAGAAGGAGGGAGGAAGGAAAGAAGGAGGGAAAGAAGAGAGGAAGGGAAGAAGAAAGGAAGGAAGGAAGGAAGGAAGGAAGGAAGGAAGAGGTTTAGCTCAAAGTTTCTCAGATTTGAGAGTTTTATCTTGTGTCCTCCCATGCAAACATAAACTGTTCTTGTGGATGCTTATTAGCCTGTCAATCATAGTCTAAGAGGTAATGAGTTAAGGAACAAAGTAGTATCTCAGGAAAATGTCTTTTAATTGCAAATTGTTGCTGTTTCTATAACTGGATTTATGCATTTAAATGAAATTAAAGTGGAATTGGAATCGAATCGCAGAAACATACAGGAAATACCCACTGACCTGTTGTGAGTTTGGAGACACTGGGGAGATAGTAAGGAGACCAGTTTCCAAGACAGGCAGACCTTTCAGGCCCCATGGCTTAAACCACCTACTTTCAACAAGTGTGACTTCGTAATGCCTGTGTCTCAGTCCCCAAGCATCCAGCCTCTAGGGCACAGAGTTTAGTGTTTATTATGGACAGGAAAGAAAACATGCTGAAAGACATCCAAGTGCCTGCTGTTTGTCATCTCACTAAATACTTGCTACCTAAGTGGATGCTATCAGCTTTGGTGGAGAAATTAAGAAAACGGAAATTAGCAAAACCAGGTAATCTCACCAGGGTCACACCAAAGAGTGACAGGGTGAGTTACAAGATGCAGGTAACTAAGACTGTCGTGTGCCACTTCGTGACGTGAACGTTTGTTCACTATGCTTTTCACACTAACCTCTTTCCCAAAGAGAAACACTTCAAACTACCAGGTAATGGGAAAGGGAAAGACAGACAAACCTTGGATAGATGGACCCTAGAAACCTCCTTCTGGACTGGGGTCCTGGTTATTTAAAGTTCCCTGGTGGCATGTTTAAACGAAGAAGAAGAAAAAAAGCAGGGCCCAGGTGTGCAAAGCATGCTCAACCCAGTTGGGGAGGCAGGTTCATGCCCTGACTTCTCAGAATAATCCTCTCACTTCATTCAACCTTTGATCCCCTTATATGCCAAAGATATTTAATAAACATCTCACTTTTAAGAGCATGGGCGGGCATATTTCAGTGGAGGGAAATGATATGCCATGTAGACTTTTCATTCATGACACATGCAACTTCGGGAAGATAACTAGAATAAGGTCACAGTGGGGGTAAACAAGCATATGTATTTTACTAATATTTTTTTAAAAAAATGAATGTGCAGATACACATGTATGCATGTTCCAAACACACGCAACAAAATGTATATGAATGCACACATGTGAGGGTATATAGATAGAAAATATGTGTGCATATATGAATATATGTGTGAATCGGTGTATGTAGACATATCAGCATTTTTGCATGTGTTTTCGTGTGCTGTGCCTGCATGTATATGTTCATGTTTTCATGTGGGGCACATGTGCTTGTGTGAATGCACAAGTATTTGTGTGTACATATACATATGGAGGCCCAAGATTGTCATCGGGTGTTTTCCGCCACCGCTCTCCACCTTGTGGACTGAGGCAGTGGCTAGCAGCTGAACCTGGAGTTTGCCATGTCAGCTGGTCTCTCCACACAGCTCACTCTGAGACTCTTCATCTCTGACTCTCACACACTGGGATTACAGTCAGGTCACCGTGCCTGTCTGACGTTTACATGAGTGCAGTCCTGGGGTCAGAACTCCATTTCGTACATTTGTATGGTAAGTGCTGTAACCATAGAACAATCTCTCCAAAATGACTTTTTAGTCTGCTCAGTGTATAGCAACTTTTAGTTTCTAAAATTATTATAATATTGCACATTATAATACATACAATATGTTATATGTAATATATTATTATAATATTGTATTCTATATGGTTTATATTATATATTAGGTGACAGCATAATCTGAAACACACCCTCAGGGGACACTGAAGCTGTCATAATATATTTAGCAGGCCCACATTTTTTTTTTTTGGTTTTTCCAGACAATGTTTCTCTGTGTAGTTTTGGAACCTATCCTGGCACTCGCTCTAGAGACTAGGCTGGCCTTGAACTCACAGAGATCCACCTGTCTTTGCCTCCTGAGTGCTGGGATTAAAGGTGTGTGCCACCAATGCCGGGCCAGGCCCCACACCTTCATCTGAAATTTTTCTCTAAAGACTCCATCCTGCACATATTACATGCAAGAATGCAAGTGATTCCCAGGACATGACTGCTTATTTTAACAAATGAGTTACTTGACTAATAAATTTCATTTAGCTGTGGTAAGTATGAAATCTAAAATGATGTTTTCTTATATACAAATGCTCATAATTTACAGTATTATATAATATAAATTTATATAATATATTTCTTAACATATAAATATAGTTTATACATATATATATATATATATATGTATAAACTTCCATAGAATATATATAATCTCCCATAGAATCCAGCCAGTACTACTCATGTACACATAGTTGTGGGGCCAGCCACTATAGTGTGGTCAACCTACCAGGGTCTATATCCTTAAAATACTGACTTTCTCTTCCCCAACAGCCCTTAACTGTAAATAGCACATCAGTTGGGGTGGGGCTCTATGCCCCTCCCAGTCCTCAATGGCATGTTGATTGGCTTGCTCTTGTTCAGCTTTTGTACAGGCCACCACAGCTGCTATGCATTCATAGAGTCCTATCCAGACGACAGTGTTTCTCCAAAGTCCTTCCTGATTACATCTTCTGGTCTTTCTGTCCCCTCTTCCATCATGTGCCCTGGACTTCGGGCTTTGGGGGAGGATGTGTTATACAGGAACCCCATTTAATTATTTTCCTTCACCTAATTTCATTCAGAAGAGAGCTTTTGAAATGTGTTTCCTAGTTCTCCTTGCATTCATGTTAAAAGAATGATCTGAGAAGGTTGTCTTTTTAATTGTAGTTTTTGTTGTTATTCTTTAATGTTAGGAGAATGGTGGTATTTTTACATGGCATGTGCAAAAATATGAGCATCTTCAAACAAGTTCAAATATCCTCCAGTGGATTTGCTGAATTAAGGATTGTCAATACCTCATGTTGGGGGTGGGAACTTGGGTTTATATTTTTAGTTTCCGATCTATTGTTACCTTATTTTCTTCTTTGCTGTCATTATTCTTTTATATTTAACAGCAGTCACCAATGTGTAGCTTACAATATGGACATTTGTGAATTTAGGTGAAAAAGAAATTATTTGGCTAAAATTATATTTACTGCAATGCAGTTACACCCTTATAGGCTTTGTTTGTTTATTTTTTGAGACAAAGGTATCCTCAGATTTGGGGTGATCTCTTGAGTATCTGACTGACAACCTAATGTTCTTAAGGGCTAATTTACTAAAAATTACTATAAATTTACTAAAAATTAGAGTGATATAAACTGTTCATATCTAGAAAGTTCATAGCAACTGGTATTGTATAATTTATATGTTGCTTTAAAATTTATTAGTATAAATTATTTGGCCTTCCCCCTTCCAAATCCTCACTTATACCCCACCTTGTTCTTTGTAGCCTATATTTTCTATTGATTGTTGTTACAATTATATCTATCCCATATTCTTGGTATGCTCAGGAGAGGAAACTGTGGACACTTGATTCCATGGGAGCAGTTCACAGATCATGACAAAACAGGACTAACTTCTCCTAGCTTAGGCACTTATTTCAGATGTAGAATTAATCATCAGCTCTGAGTTGTAACCATTATGTTATTCTTTATATATGTTTTCTCTCCTAAATGTTGTAGAGTTCTGTGTACTAAGGTTGTTTCGTTGTTTCTGTCTTAAACAGATGGCCGAGTAAAAATTTGGGTTTATGGCGTTTCAGGTGGCAGTTTTCTTATGATGATTTTCCTAGTATTTACTTCCTATCTTGTTTGGTAAGTACCAAGGAATGGAAATTATATAATTACTGTTTGTGTGTGTGGCATGTTAAAAGTAAACAATATTTTTAAAACATTGATAAAAATGGTAGAAATCTCAGGACCATAAAAAGAGATTAACAGTTGAAATATGGCACCTTGAATAGTGTTGTTACCACTTGATATCACAACCATGTCTTGGCATTTTTGCACTTAGCATTTAGTTTGGACCGTGGGTTTATGATCATGCGTATGAGGCATCTCCTAGATCATAATGCTGAACTCCACCCCAAGGACCTGCAGTTACTTTCTTTTGGGTGTGGCAAGGATTTCTGCACATACACAAATTCCCCAGGTAATTCTAATCTGTTGTCAATCTGATAACACTGCTTTAGATAATTCTAGTTATTACATTATTCTTATTATTAGCTCTTTATTGGGCCCCTTTTAGAGTAAATTAACCAGTGGTTCCCCTTGTTAGTACATTTCAAATAACAAAAATAATATTAACTATCCACATCTAATTAGCTGTCAGTTCCAGGGACTCTGCTTTCTAAGTGACTAGTGCTACTACCTACTATCTGGAAATTCTAATTAGTTTATTGTACAGAATATATTTTAGTTGATGAGCAGTTCTTGATACTACATACACATAAATAAATTTGAATACTTTAAAGTATGTGAGGAACATTATATTAGCTCCCAAAGCAACATTTTCAAGGATTTTTTATGAGATCAAAGTGTTATTTGGCTTTTTTCTCCCAACTAAGATATTTATATTCCTCATCAGTCTCATAGGATATTTGAGAATTTTTACTCAAGTTTTAATCCTGACTCAAATCTGTATATTTATCTTCAAATTCTGTTTCCAAGGCTACATAGACTTTTAAATCTTTGCTTTTGGTCAGTTAAAATTGGCGAAGAAAATCGGATGACTTTTATCCCTCTTGCCACCTGTAGTGATCAAAATTGAATTCCTAGAAATGAGATTTCTATCCAGCTAGTATTTCCAGAGTGATGTAGTAGAAAAAGTGCTGTCTCCAGCAGTCATCCACTCTGTAATCAAATGACTGGACCAGCTTAAGTGTTTCAGTTGATAAGTTAGGTGAGTATTGTGGGCATCTAGTCAATAATGAACAAATGTGAGCCTGGATGCTTCCTAGGAGTTTCAGAGTCACCTGCCAACAGAAAGGGTTAGAATGGGGGATGTTCTAAAAGTCACAGTAGAGGACATGAAGGTTTATAGGACCATGTTCTTCAAGTTGCAGACAATAAAGTCCCAGATCATCCATCTGCCTGATGGCAATCTAAAAACAAGTGAAGTCCTCAATAATCTAGATTCTGTTGTTCCCTCTCAATTCTGATACCTGAGATTTAAAAACTAGCATGTAGTTTTTTAATATTTCTACATGTAGAAATGTGCATGAAGATCCATGATATTTCCTTGGATACTTTTCTCCCTTCCCCACAGCTTACACATTTTTAAGCTGTAGTTCACTCTTCCAGCAACATGTATTTAGTAAGACTGCATGTAACTCCAAGTTCTGAGATTCTGGATTCTGGTAGTAAGATTTTTCACCAATAACCAATAACTAGGGGTGCAAAACAGGATTGCTGAGAAGATCTGATTACAAAATACTAGTAGAATTTACAGAGACCAACTTACATTGCATAAAAGACCACGTTTGGATTTAGACATTTCTCCTTCATTCTGTGGTCACATTAGTCTTCCTAAAATCCATCTCTAATGATCACCACCTCTCTTCTTTACACCATGAGTCATGTCTCATTTTACTGATGAAGTCAAGGACATGTTCCATTGTCTAACTGAATACCTAAAGTCTTTCATGACCAAACCCAAACAACTCTCAATTTCATCTTCTGCTATTCCCTGGACCCTGGACAGACTAACTTGTGCTGCATGGACTCAAATCATTTATCTTTATTCTCTCACAGAGGAAAGTATCTTTCAAAATGGCCAACTTAAGTGATTTTTCTATTTATATGCAATAAAAAATTCACTCAAGTATTTAATATGCTTAATCACTTACCCAATCCCAAAGCCTATGTCATATATTAATATTTACTTTGAGGTATTGAGTTCTCTCATTCCATGGTAGTAACGGTTTTAGGCAGCATTCACATGCACTTTCACGCCTTCCACTGGGCAATCCTGTCAGCCCCTCCATTGGCAATCAGGTTTATTCTTTCCTCTTTACCATATTCATTTCCACGCACATGGTTGAGACACAGCATGTCTGTGACTCTGTGTTGTTGTTTCAGACATTTTACCCCAACAGCCCTCTCTGCCTATTCACTTTTCTCCAGCCACTGTGTTTGTCCTGTGTGTTTATTCACAACCTCCTCCAAATAAAACCTGTCCGGATAACAAAGGCATTTCTCACGGTCTAATCCTCATGTCCCCTTCAACAACAAAGGAAGTTTTCACAACCAGTTCTTGGCATTCCACCCAGGTTTCCAGTAAAACTCAAATTCCAACCTATTTCCTTCTCAAAGGGCCTGGAATAGCTTGTCTGTGTCTCCTCCCCTGTGGCTTTTACTTCATGCTGACAGAATAGGGATTTGCCTAAATATCTGTCAACTTTCTACTGAGCGACAAAGACTTTAGAGAGAAGACCATGTTGACTATGTTTTATGGATTCTTTCACACCACAAATTGGATCATTGTTTATTGAAACCTGGATAAGTGAATGAATAAATAATTTGATTAATAAAAAATGGGTTGTTTTTTAAGATTTTAGTATTTGTGGATAAGTAAAAGTCAAATGCTTGTACATTAGGCACAGAAATAAATACTGCACAGAAACTGTTTTCTTTAATCCTCATGATTGTCTCATGGTATGACTGGTATCACTCTGGTTTTAAAGAGTAGATAACTGAAATACCATTTTTGTGCTAACTGGCTTGTAGAATCAACTCTGTAGTTGGCTAACCCCAAAGTGCAGGTTTCTTCTCCAAGTTCCCTTCCTTGAGTAATCCTGCAGGGTTTTCACATGCAATGTGATGTCCTCAGTTTCCACCTCAGAGCTCCTACATTTCTACCTGTAAAGTGAGCCACAGGCCTGGAGAGACAAGGAGCTGCTTACAGATAGTCAAATACCTGTTTTCACAGCAGCTCATTCTACTAAATGGCTTGTAGGAGTTTTCAAAGATGACAGTTTGGAGATGTTCTGTTTTCCACCAAAATAAAAGGTTTGTGGTGGAAGAATTCCTACAATGTGCCAGGGTTTAGATGTATACTTTAAATGAAAGCAATTTATGATAAATTTGAAAGGACTTCTGAGAAAAGCAGAAAAACAATCTCTCTAAGCATTTCCTTTCCACAAGGACCTTCTGAGCATCCATTAGTGTTGGGGATTTTAAAAGGGCCCCCTGCTGGGGTTTCCCTGGGAATAAACATCGAATAATGATTTATTGAAGCTGCCCACTAGGTAAGCTTGTGGTGAACCTGGAAGACACTCTAGATAACTATGTCCATTCTGGCAACACACTTGGTAATCGACTCACCATCCATGCTTCAGAGTGCTGCCCTGGCTTCCAGAGGCTTGTTTCTCACAGATAGCTGTCCAAACAAAAATGTTCCCTGCTTCCATCAAACTGTGTAACATCAGCTAGCTTAGGGGTGTTCCTTGTGGGTTGCATTCCAAGGTACTTAGAAGTGTCAGCAGCCAGCCTGTCTGCTTTCCTGGATGAATGCAGTCTTTCCCTTTGCTAAAACTCAGATGTCCTCGAAAGAGGCCACTTTAAAATGTGTCTTCTGTGATCTCTCACAGCCAGGACAGCGGCATGGTCTTATGCTGTGTGACTCCGCCAGCAGTGGTGGCTGTTCAGAGCACTCTGTAAGGCTCAACAGGAGGATGACATACATTCCAGGGGTAGATGCTGGCGGGGCCACTGGCAGTGGCAGTTATGACCTGTGTGCAGACCTTTGTGGTCCCTGATTTTGCTTAAGGAAGAAATGTGATTATGTTCTCCTAACATCAGAGTTTAAGGAGGAAAAAAATAAGAAACATTTATCTTAAAGAAGACATGTTCCAATGGAGCAGAAGAAAAAGGAGCCCGGAACTCCAAAGATAGGCCTGTTAGCTGATGGTTTTTCACAAGAAGGCCATGCACACCTTCCCTTTTAGGGGGCTTTTTAACTGGCCTAGAAGTTTTGTTTGCCACAGCTGCACAGGGACCTGTATTCTAGAGTTTCTAGCATTAGGGAAGGGTTTTATTTGTTTTAAATACTGCAAAGGTTCTTAGATCTTACCCATTCATGGTTGAGATCTTTGGGCTCATAGTGTTCATGGATCACACACTGTCAAATGGGTCACAGTGGATGACTTCCTAACCCGAGTGACTCCAGGCCATGCTCACCAAGGTCTCCAGTTCTCCATTGTACCAGTGGTGGAAACTGTGCTCATAAATCTACATATGGAAGCAGACATGAAAACATCTGTGCACATTTTGAGCAGAGTTTTCCAGGCCTCACTCACATAGCCTAGCCAAGTTTACATGTCTCCCAGGCAATGATTTTATCCTCTCAAACAAATCTAGCCATTGCTGTTCCTTGTCTCTGCTCCCCGGGTCCCCAGCTGTCATCTTTCTTCACCTAGGAGCGTATAGCACATGCAAAACAAGGGCAGACTGCCAAAAGCTGTGGAATCTACAGCTCTCAACCCTCTATTTGTTCCCTGTTCTTACCCACATGGTGGGGTCATGGGGACATCTTTACCATTGCTTCAGAAGAAATTCTGTGCTCACCAAGGTAGATACACAAGGTGTCACTTCCAGGAGCTCCCAACCTGTCCCCTGATTTTTTTTAACCACCTTTAAATGCGTGGGTCAGCATGCCAAGGACCCTGCCTCGAGCCAGGCTTATTATCCATGCTAGAAGCTCCAACCCAGCTACAAATAAAGCCTCTGGGATATACATATGATTCAAATGGATAAAGTCAAATTGGATGCTAGTCAAGTAATTTACACAATACCCCTCTGAGAACTGGAAAGGACCTGGAAGGCGGGGGGGGGGGGGGGGTGGGCAGAGGATTCTAAATCAAGTTGCTGCTTCCCATAGGCTTCTCTGCCTGGGAGCTATTTACTGTAGGCAGCCTGTGGCCACCACTCAGCCTGTGCCCACCACTCAGTGAGAGCTGCCTGCATGACAGGTGCTGCGTGAAGAACCCTGGGAAGATGTTTGGTTCCATTCAGTAAAATTTTAGAAATCATTTTTACCTCTTTAGCTTGTATGGCTTACTTCAGACATCAATCAGAAAAATTAATTTTGCTCTTTAAATTAGAATTTGGGCATTTTAAATTAGAAAATCCTTCCTACAACTGGTTCTGTCCAACTTTTCATATTCCAGTGAATTCAGATAACAGGAAATTCACCTCTCTAGCCAGGGGGTAAAAGAAGCTAACACAGGAGCTACTGCTGGTAGGACTCCATTTGTATGAGATATCCAGGATCGAGAGATGCGTGGAGGCAGAAGGTTGATTAGCAGTTGCCAGGGAACACAGGAGAAGAATCAGGGAACCCTGCTCAGTGATGAAGATGCTCCCATGGCAGATGGTTATGACAGCAGATGACATAGTCATAAATGCTACCACTGCATTTTATAAACTAAAATGTTTCGTTTTAATTTAAATTCAGTCTGAATATAAAATTCAACTCATTTTTCCAGGCAGAAGAGAATATCAGTTCTAACACATACCTCCCTCTCAGGTTTCTGGGACTCATTGAAGGAATAAATATAAAATGCTTAGCACAGACTTGGCACTCAGTCGGCATGGAATAAAAATAAATAATAGATGCTGCTATATACTACATGCCATAGCAATCTGAGAGCAAGAGAGAGAGAGAAAGAGAGAGAGAGAGAGAGAGAGAGAGAGAGAGGAAGAGAATGTATGTTCCCTGATAAGTGCAGAGCAGAAGACAGCTACCCTCTGAACACATGGCAGAGCCAGGCTCTGAGGAGGCAGGGGAGGGGTATGCTGGGGCGGGGGTCTATGTGAAGAAGAAGAGTCCGTGACAAAATTTCAGTTATAAATAAGAAACAAGAATGGAAATACATAGTGGATATCCATGTGAATTTGGCATGTCAGGTTCTTTGTGAGGAGGAAAAGCAGCCTCCCTCTACATGACAAAAGTTGTCATTCACAAGCATACTCACTTTGTTCTGCTAGATTACAGTGGGTTGGTAGCCAAATAAATATCAGTTTTCAGGCCAGTGCAGAAATATGTTTGCTTAAAAACAAGGCCAGAGTAAGACACAGGGGTCTGGCTGTTCGAGCTGCTTAAAATGTTAAACATCTGGGATGTGGAGGTCATGGTAGCTTAGGAATTAGTGAGCAGCAGATGTCTACCTTCCTGTGTGTAAACAGGAACAAATACAGAAAATGGCTCTTCTTCTAAGCCACTTAATCCACTAAACCATTTTTAATATTTTGAAGATAGTGGCTAAATTGAGGAATCCAGGCATACACAAAAATCTGCAGTTTCTAATCATGCTGACTACACATACCCATGTACTATGGGCCCAGTGAAGCTGGGGTCAGTCAGCTTAGAATGGGGAAGTATGAGCTATGATGTTCTCACAAAAATAAAATTTCCCACAGTGCATTTCACCAACTATCTCTCCATTGATAAGAGTCGCATGACTTATTCAAAAGAGAAAATCCACACTTACTAATAAATGAGTCAGTCGTAATTTTCCCACTTGAGCTCACAGTCTTCAAATTGTCTTTGGCAGCTGAAGAAAAGCTCTGTAACCTTTATCTGAAGGCCTCTTTTCCCTTTGCAGCAAGAAGCCAAAACCACATCAAAGCACACCTCGCCATCAGAAGCCACTGACCTTGGCCTACGATGGAGACTTGGACATGTAACTTGAAAAAGGAATCCAAATGTAGACATCAACTGCTGCCTTAAATGCTTTCTCTTTTGTAGCTCTCAGACTTCTCAGTTATTTGAGGAATCTCATGATGTGATACCTTGGGCAGAATACAAATACTGCAAAAGTACTAGTGCCCCAAATTCATTTGGACATGGAGTCAAGGATTACTGGGTCTGCCATTTTGTTTTCAAGTTGTTTGTGGGTGTGAGTGTTTTACTTTTTTGGTTTTCCCAAGAGGCCTGAAAACCCTTCTCTTCCTGTTTGAAAATGAGAGGAAGAAAACATGAAGGATTTCCCACAGACTTGAGTAAACTTGATCTTCAGCCGCATATTGACAATCCACGGGAAAGTCCAATCAAGGCATTTACTGTAAATGGCGAGTCTGACACTGTATTGTTACGCACTATATTAGTGCAGAGTCCTTATTCCCATACTTCAACATGAGTTTTCTAGAGTTTACATTGGTTCAAAAACTTTCCAATTGGATTGCCTATTTTCATGAACACAGAGAGAATGGGTTACCATTTCTGAAGTTATCTGAGTTTTTACCTTTAAATATTGTATTTTATTTTGTAGCCATGGGGATGATGGCACTTTGTGGACTGCATCTATTGAGACAGAAGAGTGTGCATTAACAGCTGGACTAGAGTAAAATGGGTGATTTCTGGATGAAATGTGTACTGAGTGTGACCAATGAAGTAGGTGATTGTACTGGAGAATGAGGTAGACTATTTGATAACTAAAACTGTATTTTAACAAAAATGTAGCTATGTAGATATAGCATTAACCACACACAGTTGTAATTCAGTTTAATGTTGACCAAAATATGCTTTTGTAATTTCAATTTTCTTATCTGAATATTTATAAATTATTTTGAATTTAATTATCTGACCTCATTTAATATACATTGAACACCAATCCTGTTTGTAGCGAGTCTTGTTTTTATAAGGTTTCAATAATTCCTAAAACAACAACACATTAAAAAGCTGAGACCATTTTATGAGCTAATTGTTTGTAAACCTGGATGTTGGAAGTAAGAAGGTGCCATTGTGTGCTATGGATTTGTCTTTATAACAAATAAAGTGCTCAAGAGACTATAATGCTGGCTGGCCTATGTTTATTCACTTCCAAAGGCCTGTGCTTTGACAAGAACAACATAATTGTCATTTCCCTGTGTCACCATTTTAAGAGTTGGCAGATAAAAATCACTGATAGAGAAAAAGAAACCCCAGTTTCTCAATATTATTAACTGGGACAAACTATAGTCATCAGTCACAAAGATGGAGCAGCATGGAAGGAAGATTTATACTCCAGATGATGTCAGACCTACTACTGTAATGTTGGAAAGTTTTTGATATGTAAATGACCCAAAAGAACTAAGCAAATGGTAAAGACGGAATGGGTGCCATGGAGCAAAACAGGGTGTCTCCATTTACATGGTGACATCTATTAACTGTTTAACAGTTAAGTAAGCCTTTGATAATTGCTCTTAACCAACACTGCCATGTTTTTTACAGGAAATAGGGGGGGAAAGAGATTATCTTACTTCCAACACTCTCAGAGCTGGCCTTTTATTGTTTAATTTGCCTGAAATATCAACCATGCTTGAAGCAGTTGAAGAGAGCCTCACTTGGAGACTAGCCCTGATATGGCCCTTTAGTACCCATGTATCTCTCAACAGGAATATAAATTGTAACCAAAAATGGGAGATAAAACATCACTTTCTTTTTAACATGCACATTAATAATAAGTATAAAATCTTGGTATTCAGTAAACATCACAATAAATACTGTCTGTGATTAGCACTTTATAGGTTTGGGCCCCTCAGGTCATTACATATTTTCATTCATTACAGATTCAACTTTTATAATATATATTGAATTTGCATTAAAATATAAGATTTTCAACATTTCTGGCTTGAGTAAAATTGTTTCTCCAATAATACAAAATTACACAAGATAGTTTTATTTTAGTTTACTCACATTTCCCACATAGCATTGTCAATATAGATTCTATTCATTTATTAAAACAATACATATTTATTGAATATCTGCCAAAAAAGAGGCACAGTGCTCAGAGGTACATTACTGAATCAATAAAATATAGTCTTTTCTGACTTTCATAGTACTTTAAAATTATGCCACATAGCTCAGGAATTCATAGGCAGGAATTCCACCCTGCTGTAGTATTGCCGGCATTGCCAGGAAAAAGAAATCCTGTGAGCTGACACCAGTTTCCAAAGTGTATTCACCAGGTATGTGAATACTTTGCCTTGATGAAACACACTATTTGTAGAACAAAACAATTTTAATCTATGTAGCTCTTCTAAATATAAAAGTATGTATCTGAAGGTAAGACATGAGATGCCAGTAACTAGCTATCGGCCTTATGTCATCTAATGTCACAATTTGACTCACTACTATTATTTTGCTAAAGGAACAAAGTAATAATATGACTCCTGATGCCATATTGCTATACTCATAGACCAGTGCATCACTGAACCCTCATAGGATAAGCTTCTCCTTGTAGTAGACAGTAATTAACACAGAGACCCACAACTGAAGAGTGTGCAGAGAGTGAGAGACTTTGAAGCACTCAGCTCTAAATGGGATGTCTTCATCAAACCCCTCCACTTAACATTCAGGGATGAATGGGAAAAGAGGAGGCAGAAAGATTGTGAGAGCCAGAGGAGGTTGATGACTCCAAGGAAATAGTGCCTTCCAGACATGCCAGGACTGAAGCACAAATAAACTCACAGAGACTGTGGCAGTACACACAAGGCCTGCACAGGTTCAAACCAGACATAGTACCAGCATGAAGGGGAAGTGGACACAAACTTCTCTATTCAAGAAGCTATTTGCAATTGATACCTGCTAGAAAAGGAACTCAGATTTCACCAATAGTGTCACTAGATACATCAACAATCACTTGAGCAGGCCACAGCCCCAAAAGTAGTTGTCAAACACAAAGCAGACTCCATTGTGGGTTTTGTTGACTTGTGTTGTACTTGCAGGCATGCATGCATTCATGAGTGTGTGTGTGTGTGTGTGTGTGTGTGTGTGTGTGTGTGTGTGTGTGTGTATGTACACGTGTCTGCACTTTTTGTTTACTGTGACCTTTGAGTATTTTTTTTGGTTGGTTTGGTATTTTAGTGGGAAATAGGGGGAGTGAAAGACTGTGACATAAGGAGAGGATCTGGGTGGAGTTCAAGAAGAGAAACCATGATGATCAAGATATATTGTACTTACAAAAATACATTACAACGATAAAGTCACCTTTCATAGTGAAGCACAGAAGAAACACAATTGTGTATCCCTGGAAGTAATTCAGCACATGTCCCATTTAAGTAGCTAGTAGAAATACTGCACTTGACAAGAAAAAGATCTTTGTTTACTTTTGGATTAACTTTTTAACTTAGAAATTTAACATAGGTATATGGATGTCTAGCCTCCTTGGAAAATTCAGGTCTTAGTTACAACTGTCATAGTAACAAAATGTTGTTACTAACCAAATACTAGCTGGCTTTTCAGAAATGCCATTCACTCTCATCCATCCAACAACTATTTATGGACTATCTACTGTATGCTAGACACTTTTATTTTCTGAGCATACCTTGGAGACTTAGACAAGAGACCTGATGGCTACTCCCATAAAATTTAGGGGAGATAAACAAAAGCATAAAGGAAACATGCTTACACAATAATAATGTCAAAATCAAGACCATACTGGTCAATGGGATCAAGAGAAATTTGAGGAGGGAACAACAGTTGGGATGTAGTTCTCAGGAAAGCCATGTAAGGTGATAATTTGCTTGATGACATATAACATGAAAACTACATGAAAAGGGAAATCCATAACCTAGAGGGAACATTGCATATGGACACAGACGTGAGACCAGCTAACACCAAGGCCAAAAATAGGATCAAGCTTAGTGCTGATTACAGACTCAATGAAGCCCACTAAGGTTGGAAGTGTGGACCCAGGAAGGTGGCATGAGGTGTATTGCAATGATATTCTCAAGTCCTTTTTCCCAGAGAGGCACCAAAAAAAAAAAAAAAACAATTTAATACTTTAATCTGCAATTCAGCAGCCCATACATATGGTGCAGAGGCCAAATTTTTGTATATATTTTGTAAAATTTTGCATAGGTTCAGAAGCTTATTTTTGTAATAAAGTTGAATTAAAGCACAGCCAAGCTGGATTTACTTAAAGATTGTCTGTAGTTTCCTTTGTACCAGGGACAGTGTGATTCCTTGTATCTGAGATTTGATGCCCCACAAAGATGAAATGACATCTGAACTACATAGAAAAACAATTACCACTCCTTCCTTGTTGACACATACAATTGACAACTTATGGCTCGCACTGTCTCTCTCTCTGCCTCTCTGTCTCTGTTTCTCTCTCTCTCTCTCTCTCTCTCTCTCTCTCTCTGTGTGTGTGTGTATGTGTGTGTGCACGCACGCGCCCACGTGTATGTATGTATGTGTCTATCTGTCTGTCTCTCCCTCTAAGCCTAAACCTGTTACATATTCTACATATTTAGATTATAACTTATTTTTTACTTCGTCTTCACATTGAAGTATTGGCCCTATGAGAAAAAATTTAATTTTTTTCTAAGTATCTGAAAGTTGTCATATTATTGGTGCTCAAGGAATAATGGATTGAAGGATAGAAATAAATAGTATTCAGTTCACAGTCATAGCAGGGAATTTATACTGTATCTTAATGTAACAGGCAGCTACAGTAGATTTTCAGTGAAATGAATCACCAAGGTCAGACCACCCCTAACCTTCCAACTTCAATGCAAGGATGTTAGTGTAACCCAACCACAATAGACCTTGGCTGACTGACTAACATGTTGGAACACACAGTGTTCTGATAATGCCTAACACAGATGTTGAAATACTGGTTTCTCTCCAATCAGAGGAAGGCCAAACCAGGTATGCCCTCTTCTATTGACACCACTGGGTTATGGGTTATCCTTTCCTGTTT